ACTATAACTATATATATTACTATATATTAAGGGTATCACCAAATCGGACACTGTCTATCAGAGTTTTCTCACTTATTTTTTTCGTTTGCTCTATTTTTTGTGCATTTCGTTTTTTTTTCCATGTGGAGGTCACATTGTGCTCACATGCCCCCATGCAGTTGAATAAATTTGTACAATGTCACGGCAATTATGTAAAACAGCGCCATTAGTGCAAAGATTTTCACCTCGAGCGATTTTCCTGTGACGAAACGGTGCGGCTGGACAGCAGCAGTCAGGAACTAAACACGGTAGCGGGGCAGTAGGTACTCTTGACTGAATGACTGACTGAGTGACTAGCTGGCTGACATGGCTGCATTTGCTCAAATTTATGAGGCATGATGTTGCATGCAAGGACAATGCAAATGTGTGAGTGCACGTGTGCATGTGTGCGTGTGCGCGTTTGTTTGTATATGTTGATGATGTTGCCAGAGCTGTTGAAGCTGTGTTGCCGGTGAATTATTTATGCCAGGCTTGACATTTACTTAGGCAACGTTGTCGCCCGCCCATGCAACGGAATTTACTGTTGCATATTTTTAGTGCATACTTTTGGGCGCATTTACTATTTATTAATTGCACTAGTGTCGCAAATTGTTTCGACACCATCGTTTCGCCTGGTATATAGAATAGTATATGGTCTGTATTCCAGTTAGTTAGTATCTGTATCGGATTTTCATGAGCGTTAAGAGCAGCTTTTGCGTCTGCTGCAATGCTTGAATTTCATTTTAAATATTCATAATTCAATTTTGACTTGGTTTTTCGTAGAAGTTTCGTGGCCAGTCAACGTTTTCAGCTTTCCTTGTTGTTGTTATTATTATTTCGAAGTTGTTGCAACTTGTGTTGTATTGCTCTTGGTTTACGTTATTAATGAGCAAGTGAAAATGCATGCCTCGCAGCCAAACGGAGACGGCAGCGCCATAGAAATGGAGAAGCCGTTAAGTACTAGCCGAGAGTCAGCTTAATAGATATATTTAGTAAACCGCATACGGACAACAAGATGAGCTACAGCCGTGGAATTAATAATATATTTGATTAACGATTTCGTTTCAAGGCAGTTGCAATACTTAATGCGCCGAAATACATTAAACATCTATGTAACTGAAGTGAAAGTTGAGTATAACTATATGTACTACTGAAGGTATACAATAATAAAGATTTAAATGGATTTTATAGAAACTGTGAATCATTCTAGGAACTAGAATTAATTAGCGGAAATGCTAAACAATCAAAGAAGATTGCTTAAACATATATTTAGATCTTAGAATCCAACAACTTCATTGGCGGCGATAGGGTTATGAGGCCTTAGGGGCTGCAAGTTCTTTATAATTAAATTATTATTTTTAAAGTTTGACCTGAAGAAGACGAGTTTGTGTGTTTGTAGGTGCTACAAGACTAAACCATAGATAGCCTGCGGCTGCTAGGAGCTAGGGGTCGGGAGTCTGGTTTACGGATAGTCCAGTCAGATAGTCTGGAGCAAGCCGCCGGCTGGGAAGCAGCAACATCATCAACAGCGGCAGCGCATTTCTTGAATGCAATGAAAACAAAGCAAAGTAATAATTTCAAAAGTTCTGACGGTGCCTTCGCTATCCGCTATCTTCTATGACTCTCTCGCCCGCTGCTCCAATGCCACGCTGTTGCACTTTTTCTTTGGGCGGCTGTGATGCACTTAAATATGTACACTCTGTATTTTTAATATGGCCGCGTAGCCATTACTTTGTGCTAAATAAAGAGCGCAAAAATATGGCAAATTAAAAGGCCGGCTGGAGCGAAAAATTTAAATAATACTTTGCCCAACACACAACAAGAAAAGGAGAGGATAAAACTTAAGACGAAATGATTTTGTCGTTTGGCAAAGCGAACTTTGATTTTTCTCAAAGCAGCTGAATTATATGTTATGTGAGTAGAGCACAGCAGGAGCAGGAGCAGGAACAGCAGCTAAGCTTAGAGGAGCTGGAGCTGCGCCGTAAGCCTTTAGCTGTCAGACGGGCCAGCAAATAATAATAATAATACGAAGTGAGCATAATGCATGGCTCAGATTCCTTTACAGATTTTGCTTGACAAAAGACTCCTGCAAAGCCGCGGGGGTATCTAAATAAATAGCTCAGCGTTTTACATTTCTGCTCAACGGCTCAGAGAAGTTTGTCTAACTTGCTGCTAAGTAAGCAGCTGTATCTTTGTATCTATGTACCTTCGTATCTGCGTATCTGTATCTAGGAGCAGGCATGCTAGTTGACTACCTGCAGCACTCTGGCTGAGTCTGCGGCTACGGCTGCTTGGGGGATTTATGTTGTGAAAAGTGAAACATAAGCACACTGGATTGCACCGACTTTGCCGAGCTAACAACAAGCGCACAAAAAGAGATGTGAACGAAATTTATATACACTCATATCTAGCCGTAGAGGTACTCGCAGCAGCGACACGTGCCATTTCATGAGGCAGCAGCATAAACGTTTCCCCTCTAATCCCTGCCCCCTTTTGGCAGATAGAAGATAACGGATGGCAGATAGCTGGCAAATATGTGAAGTTGAAATGAGTTCAAAAATGTTTATATCCGTTGCAATTGCCGGCAGGGAGCGCGCACGGATCATAAATCGCAAAAAATGCGCTGGAAAATATTGCGGAAAGTGCGCAAAAATAAGTAAGAAATCGACAATAAGCGCAGG